TTTTTCCCTATTATCTTGATAATCAAGTACACATGTTGAGACTCCTAGTGTGTTGGGGACTGTTGGTACTGGATTATGCAACAGAGAAGAGCCAACTAGCTCAAGTATATGTCTGTGTTATATAAGTTTGGGCTGCTGGTGAGACTTCAACTGAATGAGGAGATGAGCCAGGTGGCACCATCCACTAACCTCTCAGACATGGCTGCACCCCAGCAGTCCCGAGGGCCTGGCTTTTTGCTCAGCTTTCCTCTTCACCCCAGTGTCTACCACTGGTGCAGAGAACTTCACTGTCTTCAGTGGCTCTAATACTTTATTTGCCATCAGAGATACTTGGAATGCTTGTTATAGTGCAAATTTCTAGGCCTCATCTCCCTAAAAAGATTTTATTTATTCATCTTTAGAGGGGGAAGGGAAGGAAAGGAGAGAGGGAGAGAAACATCAATGTATGGTTGCCTCTCGTGTATTCCCTGCTGGGGAATACACAGTTCCCTGCTGGAACTGGGCCACAATTCAGGCAGGTGCCCTGACTGGGAATCAAACCTCAATCCCTTGGTTCACAGGCCCACGCTCAATCCACTGAGCTACACCAGTCAGGTGCTCCCTAAACTTTTTTATTTAGGGTCTGGGGCAGGGTCTAGGAATCTGTCTTTTAACAGAATGTCTTGTTAGGAGTGGTCCCAGAACATGCTTCAAGAAACTTCTTACTTGGAGAACTTATTCAACACCATCTGCTCTGTCCACTCCTCTCAGCGAACTACATTGCTCCCCATTTCTAATAAAAGTAGAGTGCGCGCTCATCAAATGGAAACTCCACAACTTCCTGCTACTGCAATTGATCTGATTTGTCCCCTGTCATTGCTTCTACCTGTTTCTCTCCCCTAACCTTCCATCAGCAGATGGCTCCATCAGCGTGATATCTGGAGTCCTCCTAGATTCTGCAAGTCCAAGCAGGTCTCCCTCCTCCGTGGAGACTGTGGTATTGGAGTCTCCGGAGGGGAGTAGGTGATTGCCTTTCAGTCAGGTCTGATGGGTTAGGGCCTTCTTATCATTCTGGGGCGTTTTCAAGAGCTTGGTTTCTAGTTCTAAGCAAAGTATGCTAGTGCCTCATTTATTGAGATTAAGGAATGAAACACAAAAGAGAATTTTAAAAGAATGTTACCAGACTATCTCTTTAAGTACTAACAAGTTCTTATTCAGTAGCTTTTTTTCTTTCTATAATAAGAAGGGGGGTTGTGAATTTGGAGCAGAGAATGAAAAGAGGGGTTCTAACATATCAGTGTTTTGTGAAAACAGTACAAGTGTGCATCTTTACCTTTATTTATAATTTGTTCTATTTTGTCTGCAGGGAGAGAGCAAAGTTTATCTGGAATACTCTCTCACCCTATGGCTTTTGTGCTTGCTATGCCTTCTGTTCCTGACACTTACTTACATCTCACCTTCTTTACTGTTCACCAGGCTGACTCCTACTTATCCTTAGTCTTCACCTTTTATATCAGTTTGAGAAGCCTTCTAAGTTAGGAAGCTCTTCTGAATCCTTTGCAATATCCTTGACTCCATCTGTAGAAGTGCTACTACATTGTGTTGTAATGTAATGCCAGTTGACTTGTCTGCATCATCACCAGTGTGTGAAGGCCAAGAGGGCAGGGACCATGTCTCTTTGGATAGCTGTTGCATTCTTATGGCCTAGCTCATGCCTTGCACATAATAGATGCTCAGAAAATAGAAGCTCAGTGGGATAAAAAGTACAGTCATACCTCAGTACTCGTTGGCTTCAGAACTCATCACCCAATACTTGTCATGTTTTGGAGAGAAAAAAATGTTTCAGCACTCAGCTTGCTTGGGACTAGTCACACTTGCTAGAACTTGTATGAGTCACAACATCACCCAGCAAGAGAAAATTCTTCATCGTTTGGTACTGGTGGGTTTCTGCATTTGTCATGAGTCCTGGAGCATATTAACAATGAATACCAAGGTATCAACTTTGATGCCACTGTTTGCAGAATTTTGAACAGATTAGCCCTTTAAATATAAATATTCAATTATAGTAAGTCCCCAGTGCATGTCATCAGTGCATACTTGGAAACTATGTCTTTAAGCAAAACAGCATAACAAAACCAGTTTTCCTTTAGGCTAATTGATATAAACAAGAGTTTAGTTCTGGTCATAGAAATCACCAAACTTCTTAACAAAAACTGCAAACACTTCTACTATTAAACTTTGAAAAAACTTTGAAATAAACATGAGGTATTTAAGCATACATACTAGATATATTGCCTCAACACTAAATACATTAATAAAAAGTGAAATAAATTAATATTTTTAATTTTAAAAAGAAAGATAATTATCTTCCAACTCTATTCCACTTTAGGGTCCCAGTGGCCAGAACATACCTGGACAGCTTAAGGCACAAAGCAGGACCCACCCTGGAAAGGACGCCCTTCCATTGAAGGGCCACTCACATGCGTTCACTCAGACTGGGACAGTTGAGACACATCAGTTCGCCTCAGGCTCATGTCTTTGGGATGTGGGAGGAAACTCATGTATATATAGGAAGAACATGCAAACTCCACACAGACAGTGGCCCCTGCTTGAATTGATTTCTTTTTTTTTGATCGACATTTTAACGAAAGGTCATTGAATGACATGACCTTATTCAATCAAAGACCTGCTGTATTTTACTGTGCTACACCTTTGAGTGCCAGTGGTAACTGAAAAGTATTGTCCTCCGTGACTCGAGGCTGCTGTGCTTCGTAGTTCAGTCTGTTTCTTGCAGCGTTGCTTTCACCTGTTGTCACTGTGTCCTGAAGGTTTTAATCTGCTGCCTCACTTTGTACTCAGCATAAGTGGAAAATTGAAATGGCCCTGTGTGCTTCTCTGAAAGGTTTTTGAATTTGCAAAAGCTATACCCCTTTAAGCTCAGAGGGATCTTCAACAACTTGACTTTGTGAAAGTCTGTTGGGTCCTTACCCAAGAGATTTTTTTTTTCAGATTATTAGTGAACATAAATGTTACTAGTGAATCATCTATTAGGTTTGGCAAATGATGATTATTGATTGTCAGTTTTAGTTAAAGGGACATTAACACCATTCAGGGAGTTTTTCCAGTTGTTCATCATCTTAAAAGTAATTAAAAGATTTTCCTTACTACAAAGTTTTCTCGAATGTCTAGAATAAAAACATAGCCATTATTATTGCATAACTATATTTGGTTTCTCAGAGTAAATGAAAGTACTCAGTACAAAAGAAAATAATGATACATTAATGCATGCATGCATTTATGTCCGGATACAAAGACGAGTGAGTAGGTTCATTTCCTGACCTGCTACATGTGCTGTATAAAATACTCAAATGTAGATAAACACAAAATACTGTCAAAATCAGAAGGATACTTTAAACGAATGCCTAATCTGAATTCTTTATTATTTTAAGTATTTATCATAAAATACCTGCTCTCTGGACAATGACACATTCTAATAAGAAACTGAGAAAAGTCTTCACTATTTTAGTGAAAACTGCACAACTGGAAATTCCTTTTTGCCAAACTCATTTTTCAAAAGACAGGTTTCCACTTCTTAAATGCTTGATAGGCATCAGTTTTATAGAAAAGTTTTTTAGCTAATTACACAGAGTATTAAGTGTTCATTGTCAAGTATATGGAGACGGAATGTTTCTTTATTTAGAAGGGGAAAAACTAAAAATAGGATGACACAGTAGGAAAGCTTAAAAGCAATGGAAAAACTAATTGAAAGAACAATCTTAGGCTTTCCTTCAGTGTTGCATAATTAACTTATCTATAAACTGATTTTATTTATGTACTTATTTAAACAGATATGATGGATATTTTATTTCCCTTTTCTGAGTGCTGACTATAAATGCAAACCAAATGCTTCCTGTTAATTGCCTTGGTGATCGTACTTAAATGTTTCACTTTGGTAACAGGGTCACTCAGTAAATTTGAAGTTATGACTTTTAGTTTGGTTCTAGAATTTGTCAGACCAGCTTTGGTCATTAACTATATGAAAAGAAGAAAGAAGAAAATGGGAAGACACCCTTAAGTTCTTATCTTAGTTTTGCAGCTGTGTTATTTAAAAAATCTCTATAAAGTCTTATCTTTTAACCAGAAGGGGTTATGGTTTGTAATCAGTTGCCTCTGACTGATATTCTTTAATGTGGCTGAGGGAAAAAATACTGCATCTCTCATCAGTTTACTTTTCATCTGAACTTAACAGTAGGCATCAGAATTACTACCTCCTTTGATATACATGTTGGTAAGATGCCTGTTTAAAGAGGTTCACAGAACATTGCCAAGCCATGGAGCCTAAAACACTCAAACTAGAAATTGAACTATTTGAAGCTTAAGGTGTTAATAGAAATGAAGAGAGAGGAGGAAATCACATGTACAGCTATGAAGTAAAAAAATACATGCTCATTTGAAAATCAGGAGAGACTTAATTCCTGCCTCTTAATTAAATTATATAACTTTAAACTTTGAGATCAACTAAAAAAGTCTATCGCTTGCTTGGAGACATTTGTAAACAAAAGCATGTACAAATTTATTAACTGCTTATTCACTGTCAGCTTTGTACACAAAAGAGCCTTAGAATACCTCTCAGGTTTGTAGGATTTAAAATACAATATTGCATTATATTCACTATCAAGGATAATGAGATATATCACAAGGATAATTTAAAACCTATAGAGAATCAAAATCATTTAGCCAGTGATTTTAATCTTTCTGCCAAATCTTCTATCAGTTGATAACTACCCCAATTGACTGGAGTTTTGTTTTTTACTCAATTCATTTGGGGCCAGGTTTTAAAAACAGTGAGACATTAAAAGATAGAAATAGAAGCAGGATGTAGATGAACAGTTTTTAAATATAATCCTTATGCTTATTGTTAATTGATGATCTCAGAAAGGAAATAAATTGCCTCCATTATGCTTATGGTCAGAGATCAGTAGTTAGCAAAGTGTGGAGCATTTTAAAAATATATATATTCCTTAGCACTTTCACAGGTCCTCCCCCATGCAGTGGGGCCAGGATTTGGCAGCTGGTGCTGAAGGAAAACCCTTGAGTACGTCCTTGCCCTAGGACTGTGCCCATGGCAGCTGTCACTCAATGACATAGAAAAAAAAAGTATATTCTTGATAAAGCTGCTTCTTCAAAAAAACCTCCCACATACTGGACAAGATGCAAAAACCTTTCAAGTGGTGTGTTGCTGCTCGGGAAAGTGTACTGTGTTGTGAGAACTGGGGAGGCTGGTGAACTTGCACTCTAGGCCCCGCACAGCCACGGTTTAGGGTGGATGACAAAGCCTGCAGGTGCAGAAGCATCAGCCTGGGCAGTGAGGCTCCTTCCAGCCTCATGTGCTGCTCTCTTCTCTGTGACTTGCAATTCCCCCTAAGTCCTATGGTGTAAGAAACCTTTTCCCGGGCTCTGTGCAGATATACAGTGTTGTTAAAACTTCAGTGGCCTGCTGTAATCAAAACAGCCTGGTACTGGCATAAAAACAGGCACATAGACCAATGGAACAGAACAGAGAGCCCAGAAATCAACCCAACCCTCTACAGTCAATTAATATTCGACAAAGGGGGCAGTAACATAAAATGGAGTAAAGATAGCCTCTTCAGCAAATGGTGTTGGGAGAACTGGACAGCTACGTGCAAAAAAATGAAACTTGAGCACCAACTTACACCATACACCAAAATAAATTCAAGGTGGATAAAAGACTTAAATATAAGCCATGACACCATTAAAGTCCTAGAGGAGAACATTGGCAAGAAAATCTCAGATATTCCACGCAGCAACATTTTTACGGATATGTGCCCTAGAGCAAGGAATATAAAGGAAAGAATAAACAAATGGGATCTCATCAAAATAAAAAGCTTCTGCATGGCTAAAGAAAACAGTATTAAATTAAAAAGACAACCAACTGTATGGGAAAACATATTTGCCAATGATACCTCAGACAAAGGTTTAATCTCCAAAATATACAAAGAACTTACACGACTCCACTCTAAGAAGACACCCAACCCAATTAAAAAATGGGAAAAGGACTTGAACAAACACTTCTCCAAGGAGGACATACAGAACATTCAGAGACACATGAAGAGATGCTCAATATCGTTAGCTATCAGAGAGATGCAAATTAAAACCACAATGAGATACCACTTTACACCAGTCAGGATGGCTATCATAAACAAAGCAACAAACAACAAATGTTGGAGAGGTTGTGGGGAAAAGGGGTCCTTAGTTCACTATTGGTGGGATTGTAGACTGGTACAACCATTATGGAAAACAGTATGGAATTTTCTCAGAAAAATAAAAATTGACCTGCCTTTTGACCCAGCAATTCCACTGCTAGGATTATACCCCAAGAATCCTAAAACATCAATTTCAAAGAACCTATGCACCACAATGTTCATAGCAGCACAATTTACAATAGCCAAGAGTTGGAAGCAACCTAGGTGCCCATCAGTAAATGAATGGATCCAAAAATTGTGGTACATATACACCATGGAATTTTATGCAGCAGAGAGAAAGAAGGAGCTACTACCTTTTGCAACAACATGGATGGAACTGGAAAGCATTATGCTGAGTGAAATAGGCCAGGCATTGAAGGACAAATACCATATGATCTCACCTTTGACAGGAAGCTAAAGAATAAAACAAACAAGCAAACAGAATAAAAACAAAGATGCTGAAATAGAGAACAAGTGGGCAGCGACCAGAGGGGAGAGGGAAGGGAACTTGAGGGGAAAAAGGGGGAGGGATTTTGAGGAACAAGTATGAAAGACACAGAGTTGAGGACTGGGGGGGGGGGGGGGAATGGGAGGGAGGGGGGAGACCGGGCGGGGGGGGGGGGGAAGGGAAAAAAAAAATGTACTTGAAAAGTAACTAAATAAAAAAAAAAAAAAAAAATTAAGAATAATCAACATTATACCATACAGGAGATAGCTGACATACTCAAAAACATTCAAATCAATAAAAGTATTGGTGAACATGAAAAAAAAAAAAAAAAAAACTTCAGTGGCCTGGTTTTTGATTTTGTGTTCAGCATTTCAGGTGTGTGTGTGTGTGTGTGTGTGTGTGTGTATCTTCCTTTCGTTTAGTGGCATTTTCTTTTGAAAATGAGTCTTTGGAATACTTGTTAAAGAATATCTGTAAAGCAGAGAGCCCAACATTGTGCATAAAACTGTGTGGCTTCTGATGGGATCCTGGACTGAGTTCACTGCTACCTACGTGCACAGGGGTGTCCATATATAAAATCAAATGTTAATACCTACTTTGCTTGCCTTGCTGATTGTTTTAGAGCAGGGTTCTTCAAGGTTTGTTAGTCATGTACTTTATCAATAAAAAGTTTTAAGTGCATATTATATATCATAATATTTATACTATTGTATATAAATGTCATACCTAAGAAAGTGTATAGTTATTTATAAATAAAATTTATTTACTCCTACACCTATGTATTATATTCATTTTAAGATATGCCAACTGAGAACTTTTAAAGAAAGAATTAAAAAGTCCAATGTGGGTGAAAGGTTTCATGTTTTCTTCTCATACCCCCAAGGTGTCCACACCATTTTGAAGTGCAGTGTTTCTGTGATTTAAATAAATGTAAAACCACCGTGGCATTGTAAAGTGCTTCACAAATGCATGTTTGCTTCTATTTATCTTTTTTTTTTAAGATTTTATTTATTTATCTTTAGATGGGAAGGGAAGGAGAGAGGGAGAGAAACATCAATGTATGGTTGCCTTTAATGCGTCCCCTGCTGGGAACCGGCCTGCAACCCAGGCATGTGCCCTGACTGGGAATCGAACTGTGAATGTCTGGTTCACAGGCCCGCGCTCAATCCACTGAGGTACACCATCCAGGGCTTGCTTCTATTTATCTTTATTTTTTATTGTCATCTTGACTCCACATTTATTAAGAACTTCCCAGTCACGCCCTCAGAGAGACAGAAAGGTAGCTTAGATTATAAGACAGAGGTGTGTGGCATTTTTATGAAATGTTTTGTTGTTTCTTGAACCTCCTTTACCCACCACTTTTAGGTTTAAGCTTAGTAGCCAGAGAAGTATGTCACCTGCCTTCCTGTGGTTCCTGAGTTCTAGGAACCACATTTTAATAATTACCAAGAACACCATTTAATAAGCCCTTACCATTTACGAGGCACTGTGCCAAGTGCTTTTGTTAATAGTGAAAAACTGATGTGTCTCTCCAAGCTGTCCCTTGGCGTGGCAAGAGTGTGGAAGTCAAGGGTGGTGGGTCACCAGGGACACTGATCTGGGAGAAGCACAGGCTGCGGGCCTGTTCTGTTGACATGATTGAAGGGCTGTGCTGAGCAAAAATTGATTGACTGTTGCCCAAAACAACAGAAATTACCTCAGTAGGTGGGTCTTTCCAGAAGGTTGATTTGACTTGGTTTGAAGGAAAACTTGCCTACGGCTAGAGTTCTTCTATATAGAAGAGTTTGCCCAGGGAGAAATAAATTCCTGTCACCGGATTTGGGGATAGCATCCATCTGCAATGTTAACTTAGGACAGAGATTAGACTAGTTTACCCTAAATTCCCTTTTAAGATTTTACTATTTTTGAATTACCGAATTATGTTTGGCTCCTTTGCTGTAGTTGTGTATATTTACTTATACAATGCCACCAGCTTCAAAATGCATACCTACACCCCTGTTGGCACTGTTGCTGTCCTCCCAGACACTCATCACTGCCTGCCTACAGGGAAGCGGCCTTCTGTAGTTCCCTGAGTCAGCGTTCCTCCACTTGGGTCAGTCCTCTGTGTTGTTGGTAGGCTGGCTTTTCCTAAATGACATCCTTGTTACAGCATGTGTTAGTTCTCTCTTACTGCAAAACATGTTACCACACACTTAGCAGTTTAAAACAACACAATGTTGCTATTTCAGAAGTCCAGGCAGGGCCTGCCTGAATTCTCTGCTGAGTCTTACCAATCTGAAATCAGTGTGTTTGCTTAGGGCTGTGGTTCTCCTTGGGGCTCAAGGTCCCCTTCCAGGCTTGCTGGTGGTTGGCAGAGTGCATTTCTGTGCCTCTCTGGACTGAGGTCCTGTTTCCCTTCCAGCATTCAGCTGTGGACTGCCCTGCTCCCGTAGGCCTCCATAATTCTGTCACAAGGCCCTCGTGGGCATTTCACATTAGGGATGCTTGCCTACTTCCAGGCCAGTTGGACTTGTCTAATAGTGACTATTTCAAAATATTTTTTTTAAACTGTAGAGAGCAAACATAAGAACTCCCTGGAGAAAGCAGACAGACAAGAGATGGTATTTTTCGAATGTGGTTAGTGGTGGGATGTGGAAGGCGGTGGCCCTGGCCTGCCTTAGGCCAGGGCTTGTGGTTCAGGAGAGATCGATTGGTGAGGCCAGAGCGGTGAAAACTTGGGGCCCGTAGTCAGGATGACCTTTATCTCTAAGCACCCTCACAGGCTGTTAGTGAACCTGTGTGGGGTGCATGTGGACCTGCTGGATACCCCCCAGCAGCGGGGTGGCGATGGTGCGGGCTGTTTCGGACGGGGAGGTTACTCTTCCCAGGCCTCCAGAGTCACCCTTAGGCCTGCAGACAGTGCCTCTGGGCCTCGGCTTGGATGGGTCATGCTTCATTGGCAGCATTGATTTTCTGTTTATTTGTGAAGAGACAATATGAGATCACCAAATAAAATATAATTCCAAGTGTTATTAATGAAAGAACATATTACCTTCATTTTAATGAGATCCTGGTGGTGTAAAGTGATCCCTTTCAGTGAACCCCAGGAAATCAGTGGAAAGCTGAATTGCAGGCGTGGCCGTGCTGTGTGGAGGCATCGCTTCAGTCAGTTCCGCTTGCGCTGCTCGTGAGACCTCCACCTTTCTCTTTCTTTAAGGTAGTTGTTTTGGTGAAGTATAAATGCATCCTTTGTTAGCTTTTGATCTTTTGGGGAAATGTGCTCAAAATTCAAATTTTCTCTACTATGATAATGACCCCTATCATTTTTAATATACATTACCATTCACAATTTGTACATTTTTACATTAGGTAGTATTTCTGTTTTGTAAATTTAGTCATTGTTATGTCTTACCTTTTCCCTTTCTCAGTTTTTTGCACACCACTTTCTATCTCTCAACTT